CTTACCTTGCCAGCCTTTAATTATGCCCTTCTCCTCAAAAGGAAACCTTCTTTCTGTAAGTATCCCAGTTCAATCAGAACCTATGCTTTCACTTCCTGTTCCAGAACTGGTAATATTGAACAGATTTTTCTCACCAGCCCTGAAGCACATGTTAATTCTCCAGATCTCTCTGTTGTAGTACCAATTCTCATGTGGTTCTGACCAGAGATAATAATCCAGAGATTATTATTATTCTCACTGTCTTCCTTTCTAATTTAGAACCTAAATTCTGCCACTCTTTCACTGAAGCGTTGAAAACCAGAGGACAATGGAAATGGGATTAGAATAGTTAGGTGGTGCAGACTTAATGGGCCGAAGGGCCTTTTTCTGTGCTGTAGACCTCTACGATTCTATAACTATGAGTGACTTAAACTGATTCACAAATGAATCAGAAGCAACAGGAAGAAAAATATTTCATTCAATGAGCAATTAAGATTTAGAATGCACTGCCTGATAAGATTTTATCTTAAATAAAAGCAAAATACTGTGGCTGCCGGAGATCTGAAATAAAATTAGAAAGTTTTAGAGAAACTCAAATGTTTTGGGATTCTTCTTATCTATTTCGAAGAAAGGTCATGGGACTCGAAACATTAACTCTGTTTCTCTGTTGCCAGATCTGCTAAGTCTGTTTCTCTCTCCACAGAAGCTGTCAGACCTGCAGAGTTTCTCCAGCACTCGCTATCTAAATTTTATCTTAGCTTGTTAAATGCTTGCAGGAAACAATTTACAGGGCTATGGGAAAAGCACACAAAGGATTTAATAGACTCTGGAACAGTCCCCGCAGATTGGAGGGTGGCTAATGTCACTCCAATATTCAAAAAGAGAGGTAGAGAGAAATCAGGGAATTATAGACTAGTGAGCCTAACATCGGTATGGGAAAAATTCTCAAATCTATTGTCAAGGATTTTATAGCAGAGAATTTAGAAGACACTGGACAGAAGCAGACAGAGTCAGCGTGGATTTATGAAGGGGAAATCACACTTGACAAATCTGTTGGAATTCTATGAAGACCTGACTAGTAGAGTTGACAAGAGGAAGCCAGTCGATGTAGTATATTTGGACTCTCAGAAAGCATTTGACAAAGTCCCACATAAGAGATTAATGTGCAAGATTAAAGCCCATGGAATTAGAGGAAGTGTATTGAGATGGATAGGAAACTTGTTGGCAGAGAGGAAACAAAGAGTAGGAATTAATGGGTCCTTTTCAAATTGGCAGGCAGTAACTAGTGGGGTGCTACAGGGATCAGTGCTGGGACCCCAACTATTCACAATATATATTAATGATTTGGATGAGGAAACAAAATGTAACATCTCCAAGTCTGCAGATGATACCAAGTTGGATGGGAGGGTGAACTGTGATGAGGATGCAGAGATCCTTCAGCATGATCTCAGCAGGCTGGGTGAATGGGCAAATCAATGGCGGATGCAGTATAATTTGTATAAATGTGAGGGAATTATAGACCAGTGAGGCTAACATTGGTAGTGGGAAAAATTCTCAAATCTATTGTCAAGGATTTTATAGCAGAGAATTTAGAAGACAGTGGCAGAATCAGACAGAGTCAGCATGGATTTATGAAGGGGAAATCACACCTGACAAATCTGTTGGAATTCTATGAAGATGTAACTAGTAGAGTTGACAAGGGGGAGCCAGTTGATGTAGTATATTTGGACTTTCAAAAAGCATTTGACGAAGTCCCACATAAGAGATTACAGGGGAGGATGTTCCCAATGGTGGGTATGTTGAGAACCAGCATCACAGCATGAGGATTCGGGGTAGATGATTTAGGATGGAGATGAGGAGACATTTCTTCACCCAAAGAGTGGAATTCATTACCACAGGAAGTAATTGATGCCAAAACATTGAATGTATTCAAGAGGCAACTAGATATAGCACTTGGGGCAAATGAGATCAAAGGTTATGGGGAGAAAGCTATTAAGTTGGACGACCAGCCTTAATCATGAAGAATGGCGGAGCAGGCTTGAAGGGTCGAATGGCCTCCTCCTGCTCTTATCTTCTATGTTTCTATGCTAAAGTGGGACCAACTAGATTGTTGTTCAAAAGTGCTGTCATAAACCTAAAACAAAATCATTAACATAGTAAAATGTCCCATAGGTGCACTATCAAACAAAATTTGGCACTGAGATTATAAGGAGCATCTGAAAGCAGCAAGGCACAGATATTTAGGGGAAGAAGTCCAGAGATTAGTATATTGGCAGCTGAAAGCAAAGCCACCAATACTGGAGCTATTAAAATTGGGGAATTGGCTCAAGAATCCAGAATTAGAAGACCACAGATATCCCAGAAGATTTTGGGGCTAGAGGAGATTATAGAGCTAATGATGGCTAAGGCTAAGGCTAAGGAGGGATTTTAAAACCAGGATGAGCAGTTTAATATTGAGGCATTGCTTAAGCAGGAGCCCGTGTAGGACAATGAACATGGAAGTGAGAGTGAACGGTACATGAATTAGTTTGGAATAGTTAGAATTAGAGATAACAAAGGCACAAATGTATATGGGTTTCATCAACAAGTGGGCTGATGCAAGGCAGAGCTCAATAAAGTTAAGGCAGTGAACATGTGCTGAAATGTCTTGTAAAAATATGACACCAACATTGTAAACAGCTGAGCAGTTGCCAGGGAAATGGGAGTGAGGAAAGAAGACTGTGGAGACAAAAGAGAATGTGTTCAGTCTTCTCAATATTTAGTTGGAGAAAATTTCTACTCATCCAGTAGGAAGTCAAACAAACTGCTTCACCATGTAGAGACAGTGGATGGTTGAGAGAAGTGGCACTGAGGTAGAACTGGTGCTACTCATCAGTTTAAATGTGGAAATTGATGTTGTGCTTTGGATGACAGATCACATGAAATGAAAAGTAGAAGAAACAGGAAATAACTGGATGACCTGAATGGCCACTGTTTGTGCTTTACTTTTCTATAATCCCAGGATTAAACAGATTAACTGGTTTTATTGTGTTGCTATTTGTGGAGGTTTGCTGTGTGCAAATTGACTCCTGTGTTTCCTGTATCAAGTGCTTTGAAGTTGTGAAAGGCCATGTAAATGTAAGGATTTTCTAGAGATAGTTTTTACCGGTTAAGATATATTTGTGATACAGAAACGTAGAATATAGGATCACAGTTAGGCCATTTGGCCCATCGAGCCTGCTCCACCATTCGATCATGTCTCTTATGTCTATCAACCCCATTCTCTTGTCTTCTCCCTCTAACCCTCCATCTCCTTACTCATCTATCATTGAGAACCTATCTATCTCTGTCTTAAATACATTCAATAATTTGGATTCCACAGCCCTCTGTGACAATGAGTTCCAAAGATTCACCCTCTTCTGGTTAACATTGCCTTATTTACTGAAGGTCACTTTTTCTGTGAATAAAATATTGAATAAATACCATGTTTTCCTAAACAGGGAGAAGAAATGTTCCATCATGTTTCTCACAGCCACTTTATGTGCTGGTGGTACATTACAAGATGATTTACTGCAGCACAGCATGGTCTGAAAATAACGCCTTTCTTTCTTAAAAGGTGAAAGCCCTTTTAAATGTAACCTCTCTGATGGCAGACTAGTCATTCCCTCCTTTATTGTTTACTTCCCCTATAATCATATTAAACCACTGAGCCTATTTCCTTCTGTCTGCTGCGTCCTGACCTTTAACAGTGAGAAAATCTGTTGTGCTTTGCATGTTTCGTTTTGCCGAAAAAGCCAGAAAGATGATACAGCTGCAATAAACAGGAGATTCCGGTACTACTGACACTGGTTGAGCAAATTACTCGGCACAACAGACATCTAAGACACAGCCAGAGTAACCAAGGCAACCAGCACCTCAGGTGGTAACCAGGGTAACCAGGTAACAAACATTTCCAGGGTAACCAGAGCAACTGGTACCTCAGGTACAGCCAAGGTAACCAGAGTAACTGACAGTTCCAGGGTAACCAGAGCAACTGGTCTTTCAGGTAGAGACAGGTTAACCCACACGGTCCCTGTATCATTCATGGCGCACTGTGCACATAAGGCCACGCTGAGTTTGGTATAATTGCAGGCTGGCGCGGTTTTCCTCTGATAAAGCCGGCATTCCAGGCTTAGGGTTTGTGGGCTGTGCATGTTGCTGTAGGATACAGGGCTGTGCAGAATTCAGCTGCGCTTGCTAGCGTTCTAACAGATAATATCCACTAGAATGTGTCAAACAGTCTCTGTATGACCAGGTACATAGCCCACCGCTTTCCGGGGATATTGCTCCCGTTAGAACCGGCTGTTTACACAGCGCAACGCCCCACACTATGGATTTAGCTTCCATTCCGGTTCTTAAAACACCTACAATTCGCAAGTTATGATCCTGCGATTAAATTGGGAAATAACCTTCGTTGCCACCGTTAGCCGTGTTTGGAATAGCAGCCCTCAGTCACTGTACCCACCGCCCTCCTCCCCTCTCTCTGTGCTTTTATCTGTCTCCCACTATTTTCCCTCTTTCAGTCACTGTCTCTGTCTCTCTCCTGTTTCTCCCTGCTCCCTGTCTGCCCGCTCTGCTGGGCTTTTCGACGGGCTGAAAGGCTGGGATTGCGACCCAAGGGGAGACGGACGCTCGGCCAGACGCAGATGTACTTGTCCCCGGACTGGGGACGTGATTCGCTCCCGGCTGGAATGGAAGGAGCGGGGTGGGGGGATGCGGGGAGTTGCTGCTAAAGCCGGGGGCTGGGGAGGAGGCAGAGAGGAAGAGGATGGGACAAGGATTGAGGAACCTGGATCCAGTGGCTAGCATAGGGATGAGGAAAGGCTTTGGAGTTGGGAAAAGACAGAGACAAAAGGCTGGGACAGAGAGACGGGGGACGGTCAAGTGTTGGGTTGAGGGTGAAGAGGGAGTGGGAATACCATGGGAGGGTCTGGAATGGGGGAAATGCATTGGCATGAAAAGGGAGAACAGGGCTGAGAGTTGGGATATGACAGAGCAGATACCTTCCAGACAACAAGTCCTCCAAAGTCCGGAGTGGGTCATCACTTCCTCGTTTTTTCGCACCGTGTCGTTGTCGCTGTTGGTCTTAGTCCTGCACACTCCCCGCGAATACAGCCAGTAATCGGTGCCCACTGCAATGGTCATCAGGCTGAAGGCAGCGAAAGCTCCGACCGTGGTGAGCAGCATCTGCATGCCGCGGTCACAAACACCCATCATCATGTAGCCCCAGCCCCCTTACCCCCACCCGCCCCCTGGCTGCATCCACCGCCACCTCCACACCGAAAAAAAAATCCTCCACCCCAGCCCACCCCCCCGGGGGCCGCTGGCGCTCACTCCATCGCCTGGCCCTCCGCCTCCCAACTCCGGCTCGGCAGCATCTTCTCAGTCCGCCTGCAGGCTCAGGCTCGCCGCAGGAGGAGGCAGCTCGCTCCCTGGGAACCCTCGAGCTGCTACTGCGAGCGGCTCCGTGCTCAGGCAGGCAGGCAGGCACGGAGGGAGGGAGCTGTCAGCCTCCTCTCGTCACTCCCACCTCCACCACGTGTGGCTCTGCCCCCTACCTCCCTCTTCCCGGCTCAGCCCCGTTCACTCCACTCCGGGGTCACTCCAACCCCTGGTCACTCCAGCCCCGGGTCACTCCAACCCCTGGTCACCCCATCCCAGGGTCACTCCAGCCCCTAGTCACTCCAGCCCCGGGTCACTCCGACCCCTGGTCACTACAGCCCCGATCATTCCAGCCCCTGGTCACTACAG